GCACCGGCTCCATGGGATGATAGCAGCAGAGGGAACAGATTGAAGGCAGATTGTGTGGGTGAAGTTGCAGCAGGCTCCACGGCCAGGGAGTGGCTTCAGAAATGGCATTTAATCATTCAACATTAACACGAGACATCTGTCACCGTCCTCAGCAGTGACGGGGCTCCCCAAGCAAAACAATATGTTCTGGCGCTCCTAATCACTGGAAAAACACTACTTTTTGCAGAGAGTTCTTTTAGTGCCCAGCACAAATCCTTCTATTTTATTATAGCAATCCCAGCCAAATCCTCCAATAAATGGAGTTTTTATTAATGTGCAGCTGTTAAACGAGAAAAAATAAAACTCAGAAATAAAAATGAATCCCTGAATAATCGGGCTGATCCAAAGCAGTAAGAACAAGCAGGCCGAACAAATACTTACAGCTTTTTGGTATTATTTAAAAACATGGTTGGGGCTTTTCTTCCTCCCTCTGTATTTTGTTTATTTGTTTGTTTTTTGCATAGGCCTGATTAGATTTTGCTCAGGAAAAAAAAGGGAAAATAAAGGAAAAAAAAGAAATCAGAGCCATTTCCACAGTCCTGTGGACTGGAAAAGCAGCAAGGAGGAGTGGGAATCCCTGAGAAGAGGGTCCCGTCCAGTGCATGTGCCCAGTCCAGTCAGACTTTGGCCACAGCCACCAGGATGGCTCCTGTCACCAGGGACAGAGCTGTTGTCACCTCAGGGTGCTGCCTGGTGACCCCACGTGGCAGGGAATGCCCCGGGCCTCCTGCCTAGGAAAGGGCACCACCACCTCTGTTATTCCTTCTGATTAAACTGAAAGAAAGCCCCAGTTATTCTCCTTAAAGCCAAGAAGTTAAGCTCTTTGAGCGGGATGTGCCTCACCTCATGCTCTCCTAAACCACTTGGTCCACTCAACGACACCATAGTAATTATATGTCCCTATAGGGTATATAATTACATAAAATACATAACATATTATATATTATGCACAGGTATATATGTGTGTGTGTGTGTATATATATATATATATACACACATATGCTTGGCCCTCTCCTTGATGAGGTGAGCTTCTTCCAGGCTACCTGGATGAGTGGATATTCCCAGTGCCATGGTGTTTCCGGGACCTGGCAGCACCCACACAGACCCAGCTCCTGGCACTTGTTCCCACTACTTTCAACCAGCTGTCAACAAGCACCTAAGGGAATCGGGAAAACAACCCCAAAGTGGCGAGGGAGTGAAGAATAAGGAACCGCGGCAATCCCTAAAGGAGCAGCCACGGCCGCTGCTCCCCGCGTGGGGCGAGCGGTTAATGAGGAGCTGCGCGCCAGCTGTCGGCGCGCGGCACTTCCCAGCACTTTGATTAAATCTGCGGCACTCCAGATGTGCGGCCCTGGGCCTCCGTGCGCGCTCAGCTATCGCTTCCACTGCGACTGCTCTTCTTTTTAATCAAAGGCAAACGCCTCAAGGATGGAATCTATGCAGGGGAATTAGGGGAGCAGGACGCGGGAAGGACTCCAGGGGTGCTGCATGGTTTTCCCCTCTCTCTGGTCTTGCGGTGTCCGGGAGCATCTTCCAGACGGAACAGCCAGAAACTGTCAGATGGCAGCGACTTTCCTTTATGATTGACCTGATTCATATCTAAAGCAGGGGCTGGGAGGTGAAAGCTGCCTTATCCCATTACTAATCCCCTAACCCGGGGCCTGCGATACCTTTGCTGACGGTCCCACCTCACCGTGTCCCCTCCACGGTGCCGCAGAAGCCGGCGGGGAGCCGAGCGCGCGGGTGCAGGAGCACCCGGCACGGGGCAGCACCCAGGACGGGGCGAGCAGAGCCCTGGCCAGGAGCCTTCCCGGAGCCACCGGGTGCCACCTCCGCGTCCCAGCCTGGGCACGCGTGCGCCTTGCCCTTGGTGGCAGCAGCGGCTGGGGGAGGGACCCGGGGGAAATTAGAGCAGGGGCCGACGTTTGATGTTCTGCTCTTTAAGCGATTAATAATCTTTCGGCGTTGGAGAATCAGCGGAAAATCTTCCTCCCGGAAAAATAATGAGCAGAGAAACATTTACTGATTAGTCTAATCCCAGATCATCCTATCTGATGAGCGTATATCAAGATATCCTTTAACTGATTTATTGTCCCAAACCCTGCTGGAGGTGCCCATCTCCATCATGGCCGAGGAAGCTGAAGGGTGGCAGGGCATGTATCCCGTCCCGGTCCAGGTCCCGGTCCCGGTCCTGGTGCCGGAGGGTTGTCTCTGGGCCTGGAGCATCCCTGGTGCCCACGGCATCCCCCGGGGCCGGGCACCACTGCTGTATCCAGGCCAGCGCGCGCAGATTTACCCGCTATTTCTGCATCTATCGGCTTTCTCCCCAGTTTGGGCTTTTATGTTTCATAAACTGATTAGGAGCAATTATGTCTGCTTTATCCCCAAACTTTCCAAATGACTAGGCCATATGCATATTTAAGGCTTCATCATCTCTCCCAACAGCTCAGCCTGAGCGTAAACTGCTGAAATCAAGCTGATTCTGGGGCAACGTCAAAAATTAGGGTTTTATCCACTAATATCTGCTCAGGCAGGAAATTTGTTGTGGGTGGTGGCCGGATTAGGGCCTCTAATTACTGCGGCAGATCCTCCCCCGGGGGCAGCAGTGAAAGTCTACGGTTCCAGCGCTGCGGCGGCTGCAGCCAAAAACACCCAGGGAAAAAAGTGAAGGTGCCCAAGGGGGACCCCGGGGTGTCCCGTCCTGACCCCCACCTCCATAGCAGGGCAGCCCCAGGCGCTTGATGCTCTTGATGCTTTGAGCATCCCCGCGCCCAGGGCACACGAGGTCCCCACCGAATCGCACAGGGGCGGGTGCAACCTCCCCCCTGCTTTCCCCTCCTCCATTCCCCCTTGGCAGCTCCCGTTTGCCTTTCTCGGGGCAGATCCCCAAGGATCCCCCGCCACCCGCTGCCCTTAACGGAGCGCCCGGCAGCGGCCACGGCAATTATCCTAAATGAAAGTTATTGTTCCGCTAATCCCGGGAACAGCTTGCAAGGGGAGATTTGGGTCTTTCTTTAATAACGCAAAGTTAATGCAGAGTCCCCTTGTAATTATCTTTATCAGAGGGACCCTCGTTTAATCTGGCCGGACGGCGGGAAGGCCGGGATCAGGCAGCCCGTGTAAGCCCGTTGTAAGTCGCTTCCATAAACAGATGAAGGGAAGAGGATGGAGGGGGAGGGAGGGGTAAATAAATAAATAAATAGATAGATAAGAGGGAAAAAAAATGCAGTCCAGGTGCAAGAATCTGGGAGCAAAATGGAGTGAGGAGGCCAGGAGCCTCCCAGCAGTCCCCATGTCACCCCCTGGACCAGGACCTGGGTCAGGGAGGGTCCTGCCCCATGGACTCCCCATCCATCCCCGTCCCTGTGCCCAGGGTGCTTGACGGGGGGATGGAGCAGACAGGCGGGACGCCCCGTGTGGGTGCAGGACTGGCGGGGGGCACTGGGGAGGATGCAGCGGGGACAGAGAGGCCACGGGGAAGGGTCCTGGGAAGGGACCCAGGGTGACAGGTGCCAACTGGTGGTGGGGGGTGTTGGATGGGACCCGGGGGACAGAGGGGAGGGCAGGGGAGGCGCGGGGAGGGACCCGGGGCAGGGCCCTGAGGGAGGGGATCGAGGGGACCGAGGAGCCCCGGGGGAGGGGACCGGCGGG